GGAGTAGTACCCCCACCCTACTTAATCTCATCCATGAAAGCCTATAAGTTGATCCAAAAAGGGTGTCAGGATTATTTGTGCAGTATACTAAGTGATTTGAATGGAAGTGTTGAGTTAGCCGACATACCAGTTATTAAGGAATTCCCCGACGTCTTTCCAAATGAGTTGCCTGGCCACTTAGTCGATAGAGAAATAGAGTTTACTTTGGACATCATGTCGAGAACGCAACCTATCTCCAAAACACCCTATAGGATGGCCCTAGCTGAACTTAGGGAACTGAAACTGCAATTACAAGAATTGTTAGATAAGGGATTCATTAGGCCGAGCACTTCACCATGGGGAGCACCCGTTTTGTTTGTTAAGAAAAAAGATGGCACACTCCGCCTTTGCATTGATTACAGAGAACTTAATAAGGTAACCATTAAGAACAAGTACCCATTGCCTAGGATTGATGATTTGCTTGATCAACTATAAGGAGCACGAGTCTTTCCAAGATTGACGTTAGGTCGGGCTACCATCAGCTGAAAGTTAAAGCCGAGGGCATTGAGAAGATTGCTTTTCGGACAAGGTATGGCCACTACGAATTTTTGGTAATGTCTTTCGGAGTGACCAATGCTCCCGTAGCATTCATGGACTTGATGAACAGAGTCTTTAAGCCGTATCTAGATGAGTTCATAGTTGTTTTTATTGACGACATATTGATCTATTCCAAGAGTACAATGGAGCACGAGAATCATCTGAGACTTGCCCTGCAAATCTTGAAAGACAAGAAGTTGTACGCCAAGCTGAGCAAGTGCGAGTTTTAACTTTTCAGCATTTCATTTTTAGGGCATGTGATTAATGAAAAGGGTATATCAGTTTATCCCAATAAGATTGAAGCCATTGTGAATTGGTCGACGCCGACCAACGTGTCCGAGGTTCGTAGTTTTCTGGGCTTGGCAGGTTATTACAGAAAGTTTGTGAAGGACTTCTCAAGGATTGCAGTACCATTGACACAACTAACTAAGAAGCGAACAACATATGAATGGACCGATGATAGAGAATTAGCCTTCCAAGAGTTGAAGGCGAGGCTAGTTACGGCACCAGTTCTTGTACTCCCATCAGGTAAATGAGGGATTTCAGATTTTCAGTGATGCTTCACATAAGGGTTTGGGTTGTGTATTAATGCAAGGGGGCAAAGTCATAGCATATGCATCTTGTCAGTTGAAACTTCATGAAAAGAACTATCCAACCCATGATCTAGAGCTAGCAGCCGTGGTGTTTGCTTTGAAGATTTGGCGTCATTACTTGTATGGAGCCTCTTGCCAAGTTTTTACAGATCACAAGAGCTTGAAGTACTTGTTCACTCAAAAGGAACTAAATTTGAGATAGAGAAGATGGCTTGAATTATTGAAGGATTACGACCTGCAGATTCAGTACCACCCAGGTAAAGCAAACTCAGTGGCCGACGCATTGAATAGAAAGTCAGTGGGAAGTTTGGCATGCCTAGCCATGATTTCAGTGGAGCCGACTACTATTGGGGAAGTAAAGGCAAGGCAAATGGAAGATGAATTCCTGAAGAAGGTAGCCGACGAGATTATCACCAAGCCGAGGTCAGGTTCCGCCCTTGAGAATGGAGTGCTTAAGTTTGAAGGAAGATTGTGCGTGGCCGACGTCCCAGAGTTGAAAGGAAAGATTTTGCAAGACTCTCATGGATCCAGATTTGCAGTTCATCCAGGGAACACCATGATGTATCAAGATGTAAAACAGACTTTTTGGTGACCAAATATGAAAAGAGAAATAGCTGAGTTCGTGTCCCAGTGTTTGTATTGTTAACAAGTGAAAGCAGAACATCAGAGGCCAGCAGGACTTCTTCAACCTTTGCTAATTCCTGAGTGGAAATGGAAACACATCTCCATGGACTTTGTGATTGGTTTGCCGAAGACATAAAAAGGAATGGATTCGATCTGGGTTATAATCGACAGATTAACTAAGTCAGCACACTTCTTGCCTATAAAGACTTCGTTTAATGCTGATCGACTTGCTGTGTTGTATATGAATAAGATTGTTAGACTTCATGTTGTGCCGATGTCCATTATGTCAGACCGAGATCCAAAGTTTGTTTCTAGATTTTGGCAGAGTTTACAAAGGGCTTTGGGGACCGAATTGAGGTTTAGCACAACTTTTCATCCCCAGACCGATGGCCAAACAGAGAGAACAATTCAGACACTTGAAGACATGCTTAGATTATGTATAATATTCAAGGGAAGCTGGGAAGTGCATTTGCCGTTAGTAGAATTCGCTTACAACAACAGTTATCAAACTAGTATTGGCATGGCGCCGTACGAAGCCTTGTATGGAAGAAAGTGCAGATCGCCGATATGTTGGACCGAGGTAGGAGATAAAGCTTTGGTCGGCCCCGATCTTGTTCAAAGGACAACCGAAAAGATCAAGCTTATCCAACAGAGAATCAGAACCGCTCAGAGTCGACAAAAGAGTTACGCCGACCAGAGAAGAAAGGAGTTAAGAGTTTGAAGTTGGGGATCATGTATTCCTGAAGATTTCACCGATGAAAGGAGTTTCCAGATTTGGGAAGAAGGGTAAATTGGCACCCCGTTACATTGGGCCGTTTGAAATTCTTGAGAAAGTTAACCCGGTTGCCTACAGACTTGCTTTACCACCGAGATTAAGTCAAGTTCATAATGTGTTTCATATCGCGATGTTGAGGAAGTTTATTCGGGATCCACTACACGTGATTGATCATTTTGGGATTGTGATTGATGAAGACTTAAGCTATGAAGAAAAGCCGATATGAATTATCGATAGACAAGTGAGGCAATTGAGAAACAAGGCAATACCGATGGTGAAAATTGAATGGAAAGAGCATTACGGCAGGGATGCTACGTGGGAAATGGAAGAAGAAATAAAAGTCCGATACGCGGAATTGTTCTCGAATCAAGGTAACTCAAGTTTGGAGACCAAACTTCTTTAAGGGGGGTAGGATGTAATAACCCTCACACTGTCCTAACCATACTCATCTGCATTCATATGATTCTGTCTTGTTAAGCTTGCATCTCAAGTCTTGTCCTTGTTCGCTTAAGTGTTACAGCATGCTTTGTACCTTGCTCGGTGTGGGTTTAGCCGAGGTCACCCTGGGCCTAGGTCAGTTTTGAACCTCTTGCATCTAAGACCATCTTGGAATTTACTTTGGTTGACTCCACCTTCGCTCTGACATGTTGGCCGAGATGTCACTATCTGGCCGAGGTGTTTATCGCCGAGGTTGAGATGTGCATTATCTAGGCCGAGATGTTACCCTTGAACCCAGTGGCCTTACTCCTGGATTGGTACGACCTAGACCGAGGTGTGGCACATCTAGGCCAAGGTGTGGCACAGCTAGGCCAAGTGTTGTCCTTTCTAGCCGATGTCCTTGCCCATTGCTTGCCGAAGTCTTCTTGTTAGCCGATGTCGTTACTTGTCGGAGTGCTCTTGCCGCCTAGCTTGTTGAGTACACTTTGTCATAGTCTTGTCTTTTCACTTAGTCACTTTTTGAGGAGAACCAACCAGTCGCTGCCACGTGCCCCTGCAAAGGGTTAAGTCAGCCGACAGACCCAGAAAATATACATTTTGTATTACATCTTTGTCTTTTAGAGAGAGAGACTCTAGAAAGAAGAATGAGTTCTTGAGGGAGGGAGTAGACTTCCAAGCTTGATCTTTGGAGTTTGAACCGGTAGATTCGAATTTTAAGGTTGGAATCTTAAACTACTCTTGTTGTTCTTATTGATCATCTAGCTGCATTGCACGATCGAATCTGTTCTGCACGTCATGCATTGATTTAAAGTTGGTTTTAGAAAGAGAAGATAGTGTTCATGTGTTCTCGAAGAAAAGTCTTGTTTGATCCGAAAGTTTGCATTAAGATTCATGTTTTTGTATTTGTTCTCACAAGATCCTTAAATATGGGTACCCAGGTCCATGTTTTTGAATTCATAGCATGAAATCTCAGATTTTGTAATAGCAAATTATGATCTTTGCATTCATCTTCTTCATGTTGATGTTCTTCATGTTCGTCATGCTATTCAAGAGAGGGAAACCTAGGTTTTCTCGACTTCATTTCCTTGAATGTGGCCATCGGGACCACACCTCGGCAAGGAGGTATGGGACCTCGGCCTAGACCTGGTAGTTGCCCAGCATGTTTTTCCGAGATAAGAAACTGTGTTTTGTTTGATTTGACTTAGTTTTGAGGAATGCAGAGATCATCTGCATGCATGTGAAACTTGTTTGAAAGTGCATTCAACAGACTTTGCCATGTGTTTGTAGGACTTGGATTTGCCTTGACCCCGACGTTTGAAGAGCTATGTGAGTGGTATTTTTAATAAAGCTATGTTATAATGCTTTGATAAAAGCCTTGTTTTGTTTTGTTTTGAAAAGTATTTGTAAGCATGAATGGTTATTCTTAGTTGGAAAATATGTATTATCTTGTTTTGATGACATTCTTGGAAAGTCCTTACGTGCTGGAGGACTCTAAGCATTTGCAGCACAGAGTTTGAAAGTCCTTACGTGCTGGAGGACTCTAAGCATTTGCAGCACAGAGTTTGAAAGTCCTTACGTGCTATGGGACTCTAAGCATTTGTAGCACAAGTCCTTAGTGCCAGGGGACTATAATGCAACTGCACCATTGAATTGAGATATCTCCTTTGTCTTGTCTTGTCTTGCCTTGTTTGTCACTGACGGTTTACTGCGTGGGTTTGTTTGTCCAAGATGTCATCACTTGTATTATAACGATGCTAATAAGCATCCCTTGAAGCTTGACAGAGTTGCTAGATGGACTTGGTTCATCCTTTGACTTGCACTAATTATGTTATGTATCATTTGATAAAGATCTTGAATACCAGTCATGCAAATCCCTTTATTATTTATACCATTCACTGAGTATCCAAGCTCACCCCTCTATATATATATATATAGGTGACGAGCAGAACGGCGGTGACGCCTAGATGTACTTGCTACTTGTTTTGGATTTTGCACTTTTGCAGCATCTTGAAGACCATGCTTCTTAGTTGTATTTCATTGTATTTTGTATTTGATGGCTGAGAAGCCTTTTAGTCAAGATATATTTTTGTACTTCATTTTGTTGTATTAAAGCTATGTGAAGATGTATGCTATTCTATTTAACTTATGCACTGCTCCTATGGATTCCTTAGCTTTGAATTTATTGCTTCCACATTTGTAAGCCCCATATGTATACTCTGATTGTGTGTGAATTTTGAAAGTTGGCCTTGGGTAATTTCGAATTACTGGCCATCATGGCGCCATTCTACTAGGGGCAGAATGGGGTCGTGACAATAATATATAAGGTAAAAAACACTGAAGTGTTTGAGAATGGCTTCTTGGATTTTTATGAAAAAATGAGCAAAAAAGTAGAGATAATGGGAAGGTATTTTTAACCTTTTTAAAATTTCTTAATCATTTCTTAATATCTCAAGAAATATTTTTTTTCCTAAGTCGTCGGTTTTTGTACTTATGTGAAGTTTCCTTTGTCATGCAGACAAGAAATACAACAGGGTTAGTTGCTCCAGCTATTGCTGCAGGTTTAGGTGCCTTAACACATACATTGGGCACCCTCGTCATTGTGATAGGAGCAAGTGGATTTGCTATAGATGCAGCTGCAACTGCTATAGAAACTGTTATCAGTAGTTTTAGATAATCTCTTAATAGTTGTCGATATGTTTAGAAAGTTAGATATGCATAGTTTTGGATGGTTTAAACTTTTTGTACAGTTTAGAACTTAAGGGTATAGTTTTCAAATGTTTGGAATGTATAGACAATTGTTGAATGTTTATAATTTATGGATATAGTTTTTTTTTTTTTTTTTAAATAATATTTTGGTGGTTGATTGATGTTTTGTGATGCTTGTTTGTAATATTTGTTAGATTGTATAAAATTGGTCAAATAGAACCTGTTGAATAAAAAAAAAAAAAAATTGCATATTCTGCGACAGGCATAATAAGTCGTTGTATTACATATTTTACGGCGCGCAATCAGCGTCGTTATTTGTCTCACCAATTAACGGCGTGCAAAAGTAGTTGTAGAAAAAGCAATAACGACACACAAAGTCTGTTGTTAAATAGTTTTTAACGGCGTACTATAGCATGTCATAGAAAAAGTAACGACGACGTACAAAATCTACCGTTAAATAGTTTTTAATGACGTACGAAGCATGTCGTTGAAAGTAAATGATTTTTTATGACTAGTCATAATATGACGCACGCTGTACGTCGTAGAAAGATTTTTACGGCATGCATTGCGCGCCGTAAAATTTTTTTTTGGTTGTAGTGTAGGGAGACAAACAATCATTAAACATCAATTCAAAATTTAAAATATTTTTGCCATAATACCCTGTATTTTGAATTTTAAAATGTGTTTGTACTTATGTATAATGGGTAATTTTGAAAATAAAAAAAATTCAATAGCCGAAATAGAAAGTGAACAAATATTTTGAGGAAGACTAAAATGGAAAGATGGACACAAAAAATAAATAAATAATGGGATGAAGGGAGTATATTTATTTCATATTTATAATTAATCTCCTATGGAATGGCTAAATCACAATGAATAATGTAAGATGCCTTCTCTTGTGAAAGACTTGTAATTGTATTATCAATTTATATATATTAAAAAAAATAAAAACAACAATACGAATAATAATAAAAAAAATATATACATACATAGAAAACTACACAACCATCTAAACCAAAAAAAAAAAAACAACCTTGTAATCAACTCCCAAAACAAAAACAGCTAGACACTTATTTCTTTATTTATCAATTTAGTAAAAAAAAAAAAAAAGAACACAACAAAAAAAAAAAGGCAAAACGAAAAGAAAAAAAAAAAATTTAGTAGGTCAATTATCTAACTTATTATTATTTTTTAGAATATTATAATAATTTTTTTTTTAAAAAAAAAACTCCAAAATGAGCATGAGGGTCACACCAATCCCTATTTAAAAAAGGGTATAAAAATAAAGGAGAATGGTGTAAGAACAAATACATCTTTCAACGTGGCTACAAAAGAAGCAAGAGCATCAATCACTTGATTGCTCCCTCGATAGGTAAAGTTGACTTTTTTTTTTTTTTATCAGTAAATTAACAATTTCATTAAAAACATAAAATTAAAGATACAAGAAGATAACATACATTGAGAAAGATTCAAAAAGTACAATCTACCCCTACTACTGCTATTCGCAACCATACAACCAACCCCTCAGCCTCACATTTTTAAGACAAAAATAGAAGACAAACCAAGAAAACAAAATAAAAAAGTTATGAAGGACTTAACTCCAAAAACATCTTAGGGTTTTCAAAGTTTTAAGTTTTGTATTGTTTTTATTGTTTTGATCAATATTATTTTTGGAAGGATGGTGGTGACTTACAATATTGTTTTGAATTTTGAAATATAACATTATTATTTGAATTGTTTTGATCAATATTATTTTTAGAAGGGGTGAGAGTGATTTACCATATCATGAATTTTGAAATTCGCAATCATTGATAATTAGAGCCTTTTATTTTTTTTTAGTTTACTTAACCAACCATTAGATTTTTTATTCTATTTTTTTTACATTTTAAATTATAAAAACCAAGAAATTTAGTCTGAGAACTTGGAATTATCGTATTCATTCTCATTAGAAATCTTCTTTTTCTTAATATATAATACAAATAATAGAGGCACGAGATGTCAAACAAGGTCCAAATACGACCATGTATGCATGACACAAACTATTAGGGATTGTGTATCATATTTGGTTATAAATCATTAGGATTTTTTTATTTTGGTTATAATTTAAGAGGTATTTTGTTATATCTCAAATAGTGTTTGATTTTAACTTTTGGTTATGCTAGTTATGACTTATTGTGGTTATTATTTTGATTATGACCGAATAGATATTTGGTTATGTTTGAAATAGCGTTCGGTTATAACTTATTTAATTTTTTTAATTATATAATTTAAAAGTAATTTAGGTATGATATTTGTAATATTAATACCACAAAAATTATAACTTGCATATGAAAAAAGGGATGTATATTGTAGAATGACTATAAATTTTTATAAAATTGATTTTATCTATTTATAAAATCAATTTTATTTTTTTCTCTCTCGTATTCCTTTCGGCTATGGTAATTGCTCATTTTTATCATTCGCTACCATATCTAGCCATCATTGTTCACTATCACCTCTGGCCACCACGTCACATAATAGGCAATCACCTCTAATCGTTGCCAATTATCTCCCACTGATAACAATCACCTTTGACCACCAATAATTATCTTCAACCATCTCTACCTATTAAAAATAACATCCAGTAATCAGCGTCTGACAATCACCTTCAAGTATCTCTCTCAATTGTTTTAAAATACATGTGATTCAAACTTGTGATTTTTTTTTTTTTTACTAGAAATAAACATAAAATATATTTAATCTTTTCTACAAATAAAAATAATAAACTATAAGTACTATGAAATGAGACCTTATGTTTCGTATGGATTTATTTTTTTATCCTGATAAGTTTAGGGGATTGCGATTCACACTCTTCTTTACAATTGCAGTTTAATTTTTTTATTATTTCACATGTATGTAAAATTGGACTCCGTGGAATATTTTATTTTAAATAAAAAATATAGAGTGTATATATATATTATTATGAAAAATGAGAGTACAAAGTACTTCCCTAAGTTGAGTTCAAAAAAAAGAAAAAGAAAAAGTACTTCCCTAAGTTTATCCCTACACTTGATACATGTAGAATGGAGAGTAGTTGAGTTTTCTAGTGGGCTTGAGCACCTACAACTTACGGTTGTAAGGCTTTCAGCAAAGCAACATGGCCCAAAGACCCTTCCAAGCAAAACTCGTATGGGTCCAGTGAGCCCATTTGTTGTAACTCGCAGCAGTGATGTTTACTAGTAGTAGTAATGGGCATTAGAGGAGAAGTTTATTGGAAAGAGGAACACAACCCATATGTACAATAAAAGATTTACATATGAAAAAAAATATTGATCAATAAAAAGTCACAAAGGGACTAAGTGGGTAAACCTTATCTTCCATTATTCCAACATTATTGTAGTAATTACCACAAAAAATGATATTGCACATTGGATAATAATATTGTCACGTTACCTAGCGGCCTAAGTTTACTGAAAGTTCAAAAATATAAATACAAAAAAATGATATTTACCACATGATATTAATAAAAAAAATTATGCCAAATTGAAATTAATTTTTTCACCATCTATGTTGATTCACACAACAACACACGTATCTATAGTAACCATTTGTGTGGTTATATAAATATATATATTTTTGATAACTCAAGATATCCAAACCAGTTAGTGTGCAACTTAACTAATCCTTGGGGACCAATTCCACCATTCACTAATGAGGGGTCCAATTAAAGTCAGAACAGATACCAATCCCATCAATCCTACAGTCCACTAGCGGACCAGTTTATACTCACATTGTCTAATCCCTGAGGACCAATCCCACCAATCCCACCGTACACTATTGAGGGGACTAATTAAAGTCAGAGTAGAGACCAATCCCACTGTCCACTAGCCGCCGGGAGGGGGGGTCCAATTAAAGTTAGAGTCAAGTTCTATATAAACTGACTCGACATAAGGATTGATAGCACATAAGAGGTTTTGAACCTGGGAAGTACAGAGGAGCAAACTCCTAAGTCCCAATCCCAAGCTTACACCAGTAGACTAACCCTTAGGGGTTGGTTATATAAATATTTATGCATTAAATGAATATAAATAAAAAATATATGTATGATGGGGTTCAAGAACGTCGTTGAAAAATTCGAAGATCTTCGAAGATCCTTGAAGAACAACTTCAAATTCTCTAGAATATGATGAGAGGCTTAGATTCTTCAATAGTCTCAACTTAATAACACAAGAGTAAAGGAGATGATGGAGATTAGAGATTGGGTGAAGAAGAAGGCAAAGTAGCTAGAAATAGAATAATGGCAAGGCTCTCCCATGGATCTCCCACTTTCACTCTCAAGATTGATAATGGAGATGGGAAATTAGTTCTTTCCCAATAGTCATCTCTTCAAAATCCATCCCCTTGTAAAGCTATGGGTGGGTGCTATTTATAGGCACCTCATGATGTAGGACGGAGCCCATGTGCAAGGCACGTGAGGAATATTCTCTCTAACCATCTTATCCGAAGAGGTGACCTCTCCAAGGATGAGGAAAACCCCGAAGAGGAGATCAACTTCTCGGTGAACCCTTCTTCTTAACCACACCTAACCAATGATCTCCAATCATCCCAAAGGGTCAGGGGTTGTCCCAGAGGACGTCCTGCCGCATAAGGGTCAGGGGTAGTTCAAGAGAACGCCCTACCGCAAATATTACCGAGTCTCAGGGACCCCCTAGATTCTGCCACCTCGACCCGGGTATAGGCTAGTTTAACCAAAGAGTGAATTTATCTTCACTCACCGTCCTCGGGATCGGGTCCTTTGTTCGAACTCCATTACGCCCATGGTTCTGGTGCGTAGATTTCAGAAAGTTCCGAGCCTGCAAGTGTTCTGGGACTCATTAACGGAGCGACTTCTAGATTGCATCTGAATCCGTTCGAAGCCAAGTGCTTCGGATCTCTAGGTTCGTGGATCCGAACCCTTTCGAGTCCAAGTGCCTCGGATCTCTAGGCCTGCTCAATACCCTTTCGAGTCCAGGTCCGAGTAAGGCTCTAAGTTCGTGGATTCGAACCCTTTCGAGGCTTAGAGCAATTCAGCCCGTTTGATGGCGATAAATCCGAGCCCACCAATCTTGGACTATTGGGCCTAATTAATTTAGTGGGCTCAAATTAGCTCCT